TATGGAAATAACAACATGTCAGTATAATCATAATCCAATCTCAGAGTTACTGAAAGTAGAGCAAGATATCATCAGAAGAAAACTTTACAAGGAGACTCCAGAAAAAGTGAAAAAAAAACGGTATAAGGCTAGGTGTTTCAGAAGATTAAATGTCTTCTGCTTCATCGACCACACCTGCTGTGTAAACCTTGGTCAATCCTAGTCAGTAATGTCACATTTTCAAATGAGAACAAGGTATACAACAACAGAACCAACAGGCAAACTAATGAGCATCAAACATATCCAGCATAATACGGCAAAAAAAATAGACTTTTTTCTAAATGAAATCACTATGACAACCATAAAGCTTCCATTTTTTTCATCCACCTGCTTAACCCTGTGTTAAGTGTTTGTTCATATTGAATATTGAATTAACTATCACGTGTAAACATCGAGGACTTCAATTGGCGTATTTCACAGAGAGACTTGTATTGGTATAATCTATAGAGACTTGTATTGTTGTATTCTACAGAGACTTGTATTGTTGTATTCTACAGAGACTCGTATCGTTGTATTCTATAGAGACTTGTATTGTTGTATTCTATAGAGACTCGTATTGTTGTATTCTACAGAGACTCGTATTGTTGTATTCTATAGAGACTTGTAGTGTTGTATTCTATAGAGACTCGTATTGTTGTATTCTACTGAGAGACTCGTATTGTTGTATTCTACAGAGACTTGTATTGTTGTATTCTACAGAGACTTGTATTCTTGTATTCTACAGAGACTTGCATTGTTGTATTCTACTGAGAGACTCGTATTGTTGTATTCTACAGAGACTTGTATTGTTGTATTCTACAGAGACTTGTATTGTTGTATTCTACAGAGACTCGTATCGTTGTATTCTATAGAGACTTGTATTGTTGTATTCTATAGAGACTTGTATTGTTGTATTCTATAGAGACTTGTAGTGTTGTATTCTACAGAGACTTGTATTGTTGTATTCTACAGAGACTTGTATTGTTGTATTCTATAGAGACTTGTATTGTTGTATTCTATAAAGACTTGTATTGTTGTATTCTATAGAGACTTGTAGTGTTGTATTCTACAGAGACTTGTATTGTTGTATTCTATAAAGACTTGTATTGTTGTATTCTATAGAGACTTGTAGTGTTGTATTCTACAGAGACTTGTATCGTTGTATTCTACAGAGACTTGTATTGTTGTATTCTACAGAGAGACTTGCATTGTTGTATTCTACTGAGAGACTCGTATTGTTGTATTCTACAGAGACTTGTATTGTTGTATTCTACAGAGACTTGTATTGTTGTATTCTACAGAGACTCGTATCGTTGTATTCTATAGAAACTTGTATTGTTGTATTCTATAGAGACTTGTATTGTTGTATTCTATAGAGACTTGTAGTGTTGTATTCTACAGAGACTTGTATTGTTGTATTCTACAGAGACTTGTATTGTTGTATTCTACAGAGACTTGTATTGTTGTATTCTATAAAGACTTGTATTGTTGTATTCTATAGAGACTTGTAGTGTTGTATTCTACAGAGACTTGTAGTGTTGTATTCTATAAAGACTTGTATTGTTGTATTCTATAGAGACTTGTAGTGTTGTATTCTACAGAGACTTGTAGTGTTGTATTCTACAGAGACTTGTAGTGTTGTATTCTATAGAGACTTGTATTGTTGTATTCTACAGAGAGACTTGTATTGTTGTATTCTATAGAGACTCGTATTGTTGTATTCTACAGAGACTCGTATTGTTGTATTCTATAGAGACTTGTAGTGTTGTATTCTATAGAGACTCGTATTGTTGTATTCTACTGAGAGACTCGTATTGTTGTATTCTATAAAGACTTGTATTGTTGTATTCTATAAAGACTTGTATTGTTGTATTCTATAGAGACTTGTAGTGTTGTATTCTACAGAGACTTGTATTGTTGTATTCTACAGAGACTTGTATCGTTGTATTCTACAGAGACTTGTAGTGTTGTATTCTATAAAGACTTGTATTGTTGTATTCTATAGAGACTTGTAGTGTTGTATTCTACAGAGACTTGTATTGTTGTATTCTATAAAGACTTGTATTGTTGTATTCTACAGAGAGACTTGTATTGGTATAATCTATAGAGACTTGTATTGTTGTATTCTACAGAGACTTGTATTGTTGTATTCTACAGAGACTCGTATCGTTGTATTCTATAGAGACTTGTATTGTTATATTCTACAGAGACTTGTATTGTTATATTCTACAGAGACTTGTATTCTTGTATTCTACAGAGACTTGCATTGTTGTATTCTACTGAGAGACTCGTATTGTTGTATTCTACAGAGACTTGTATTGTTGTATTCTACAGAGACTTGTATTGTTGTATTCTACAGAGATTCGTATAGAGACTTGTATTGTTGTATTCTATAGAGACTTGTATTGTTGTATTCTATAGAGACTTGTATTGTTGTATTCTATAGAGACTTGTAGTGTTGTATTCTACAGAGACTTGTATTGTTGTATTCTACAGAGACTTGTATTGTTGTATTCTATAGAGACTTGAGACTTGTATTGTTGTATTCTATAAAGACTTGTATTGTTGTATTCTATAGAGACTTGTAGTGTTGTATTCTACAGAGACTTGTAGTGTTGTATTCTATAAAGACTTGTATTGTTGTATTCTATAGAGACTTGTAGTGTTGTATTCTACAGAGACTTGTATCGTTGTATTCTACAGAGACTTGTATTGTTGTATTCTACAGAGAGACTTGCATTGTTGTATTCTACTGAGAGTTGCATTGTTGTTTTCTACAGAGACTTGTATCTTTGTATTCTACAGAGACTTGTATTGTTGTATTCTACAGAGACTTGTATTGTTGTATTCTACAGAGACTTGTAGTGTTGTATTCTACAGAGACTTGTATTGTTGTATTCTATAGAGACTTGTATTCTATAGAGACTTGTTGTTGTATTCTACAGAGACTTGTATTGTTGTATTCTACAGAGACTTGTATTGTTGTATTCTATAGAGACTTGTATTGTTGTATTCTATTCTTAGAGACTTGTAGTGTTGTATTCTACAGAGACTCGTAGAGACTTGTATTGTTGTATTCTATAGAGACTTGTATTGTTGTATTCTTGTATTGTTACTATAGAGACTTGTAGTGTTGTATTCTACAGAGACTTGTAGTGTTGTATTCTATAAAGACTTGTATTGTTGTATTCTATAGAGACTTGTAGTGTTGTATTCTACAGAGACTTGTATTGTTGTATTCTATAAAGTTGTATTCTACAGAGAGACTTGTATTCTTGTCTACAGAGAGACTCGTATTGTTGTATTCTACAGAGACTTGTAGACTCGTATTGTTGTATTCTACAGAGACTTGTATTGTTGTATTCTAGAGAGACTTGTAGTGTTGTATTCTACAGAGACTTGTATTGTTGTATTCTACTGAGAGACTTGTATTGTTGTATTCTATAGAGACTTGTATTGTTGTATTCTACTTGTAGAGACTTGTATTGTTGTATTCTACAGAGACTTGTATTGTTGTATTCTATAAAGACTTGTATTGTTGTATTCTATAGAGACTTGTAGTGTTGTATTCTACTTGTATTGTTGTATTCTATAGAGAGTATTCTACAGTATTCTATAAAGACTTGTATTGTTGTATTCTATAAAGACTTGTATTGTTGTATTCTACTTGTAGAGAGACTTGTATTGTTGTATTCTACAGAGACTTGTATTGTTGTATTCTACAGAGACTTGTATTGTTGTATTCTACAGAGACTTGTATTGTTGTATTCTACAGAGACTTGTATTGTTGTATTCTACAGAGAGACTTGTATTCTTGTATTCTACAGAGACTCGTATTGTTGTATTCTACAGAGACTTGTATTGTTGTATTCTATAGAGACTTGTATTGTTGTATTCTACAGAGACTTGCATTGTTGTATTCTACAGAGACTCGTATCGTTGTATTCTACAGAGACTTGTATTGTTGTATTCTACTGAGAGACTCGTATCATTGTATTCTACAGAGACTTGTATTGTTGTATTCTATAGAGACTTGTATTGTTGTATTCTACAGAGACTTGTATTGTTGTATTCTACAGAGACTTGCATTGTTGTATTCTACAGAGACTCGTATCGTTGTATTCTACAGAGACTTGTATTGTTGTATTCTACTGAGAGACTCGTATCATTGTATTCTACAGAGACTTGTATTGTTGTATTCTACTGAGAGACTCATATTGTTGTATTCCACCATGATATTTTCCATTTAGGTATATTATACAATTCTGAATGCCCCATAGGTCTGCTACAAATGTTGAGAAAAGGGGTTGTGTTCCCACTTTGAAACTGGTAGTTGTTCAGGTACTGTTATTATAACAGTATTTATATGGATTGAAAAATGTGCTGGTTTGAAAGTCATAAGTAACAGGCAATCTGTTAATGAAGAGAATGCTTGTGATTTACACTAGATTAACACCATCCATCCATCTCTCTGGTCCTCCTTAAATGACCAGGCTGTTAATAGGACAGCAATAAAATAAATACACTTTAATGACTTAAAAATTGTGCCCCTTTTATGACATCACAATTTTTTATGTGAAAGAAGAGAAATTAACTTTACTTCTTCCACAAAGAAACACTTTTTCAGGAACTGTGAAGATCTGCACAGAATGTCACTTTAGGTGTATGTAGTCATCATAAGGTTTGTTCTTGCGGTTGTCTTGGTTATGTTAATCCAACCTGATTACTTTCCATTTGGAAAGGACAAGCAATGTATTATACCTTCAGTTGATGATGTCTGTAGGCTATCAGTAGTAAGTCTAATGCCCAAACATGTCCATTGAGCTATGTGAAAGTTGGTACCGTAGTCATCCAGATTTGGAAACTGTTAGATACCCTGTCATGTAGCATCGACACCATCAACGTGTAAGCTAGCTTATATATACAAACCGTGATTTGCTGTTATTGATCCCAGATAAGAGCAGTCTTTTCTTCCATTTCAGCTGAGCCAAGTATTGCTGGACCTGGCTAGTGCTGTGTTTAGATCAATCCTGGATCGAGCAAGTGAGTTGTACAGTGAGGCTCTGACCCCTACGCACGAGCTGCTGACCCTGGCCGTAACCACTGCCTCCAATGTTATCAGTGCCACCGTCCGCAGTGCTGCTCGGGACAAACACCGGTTCTACCGAACGTCCATGTCCACTTTCATCCATACCCTTGACCAGCTACTCAAGGTTAGTCATGTTCTTCCAAATTCATACTTTACTTTTCTCATTCATACCGCATCTACTATAATCTGGCTTATTCAACGTTTTATCATGTTCTTCAGAATTCTTCTTCAAATTTTCATCTGCACTGACTACCATAACTCCCAACATAATCACTAAGTCAAATTCAATCAAACTCTTGTAATTTTCAGTGTATATTCTCGTGTCCCTGTCCACCCTAAGATCTGTCTTTGGCTAGTCTTAACCATATTCACAGACACAACATGATTGGAATCAGTCTTCCGTACTCAAAATTCTCATTGTCAATTAACATTTGACATTTTAGCGTACAAACATTCCAAAGGAATTTTACTTTGACCTTTGTGTGACATTGCTCTATTGATCAGAGTATTAACATCCGTCTTCCCGAAATAACTTCCAAGCTGCTTTGAATTTAATAGCAGAACATATAGATACAGTGCAGAACATTTTTGTTATTGTCAATCATATTCTGGTTGAAACTGGAGTCTTATCACTCTTTGCTTTAACTATATATTTAAGGATTTGCTTTGGGCATTATGATTATCAAACATTTCCAAAACATCAGATCCAGGTCACATGTTAAGAGAAAAGAAGGGAAATTCATTGGGTTAAGTATTCAATTAATTGAGTCTCATGGAAGTTTGATGGATTATAAGAAATTTCTTAGGAGAATTGGCTGATATTTATTTTGAAGTATGAACTATAGAATATGGTCGCTGATATGAGTCACACTCCCCAACCTGTTGCATTTATAGCTTTAAATAAAATATTCTACTTTTAAACAAAATGTGTGCATCATCTATTTCCTAAACCACGCTATGAATGTTAAATAGCATTGCTTTTATAACCTTACAACCAAACATACAATATGAATATATGCATTCACCTTGATGAAAGAAACGAAGTAAAATTCAGAAAAGAGTGAGTCTGGAATAAGCGAAGTTTTTATGTTAATTCTTTCATTGCTGTTGTTGAACTTTATTTTCATAAAAAATGAAATTTTGTTGTACAGTAAAAGTAAAACTGTGTCTAAGTTTGAGGAAATTTATCAGCTCTGTTGTATCTATATTTGATGATTGTAACATTAAATTTTTTAACCTCTAATTTTAAAGAGGGCATATAGTGTTTCACTAAATGTCTCTTGTTCCATTGCGAAACAATGTGTTATTTTTAGAACCTCTCAACAGATTCAGTTCATATTTAATTACCTCATAGTATCATAACATCAATGTCTACACATCAGGTCAGTCAAGATTAAAGGTCAAAAATCACAAGTGACATCTTTTGCCAATTCATCAGAAATAATACTTGCACATGCTGTTGGAGACATTTTCTTATTTGTGTGTCATCAAGCAGCTTTCCCAACAGAAATGAAGGCAAATTACCTCTTCTGTAATTGCAGCAAACAGTATCATCTTAAGCCATTTATATTTCCAAAGCAGTTCTTCATATAATGCCTTTTAAAACATCTTATTGCTGACAATAGTCAACTTTCCAATAAGATTTGAAGATTTTATGTTGAAGTTGATGTTTCAAGGTGTAGTAATTTTAGAAAACAAAAATAACAAAAAATACATATAGAAGATAAAATTAACCAGTACTATCTGATATTTACTAAGAAAATACCACTGTGTGTATTAACCATTAAAGACTATGATAGGTGATGATGGCATAAACTCAACATTTCATGTAGTAAGAATCCTTGTCTTTAGTAACCTGGCTAATAGTAGACATAAAAGGATAGGGGGGTTAATTGGTGGGGTATTAGTATGCAGGTTTTAATTATCATATTTGATCATAGATGGCTTCTATGTTAAAGGGACTATGATATCAGCTCGAGTTGTAGAAATGTGGATTTAGAAACTAAAAGTTGATGCTTGAATCCCCAGTGCAAGTATATCATTGTCTTCTGTGTAACACTAAGTTCTCACCCAGTCCCTACCAACACCTCAAGGGGATGAAGACAAACTGCATTGATTTGTGCTTGCAGTGTTCTAGCACTATATTAACAGAGACATAGACCTTAAACAGCTTTCAACTAAATGCTTCTGAATTATCAATTAAGTACACGACTGAATAGAAACCTTTTGACAGACAGATTTACTAGCCTTCTGATCAATACCTGTACCATTTCTACCTCGCTCTGTCTCAGTGGAGCCCCTAATTAATCGCTCCGTAACAGCTGCTTTTGTGTGTGTCCAACCAGCGGTAAAAATCCCCTTAAACGCTTTATGTAAACATTGATTACTTTACTTCTCAGATTATTAAAGTTACTTGATATTGATATTGGTGAGGCTGAATTGTATTTTTATTGCTTCTGTGTTCTGAAGCAGAGGTGGCTACATGTGTTGGAAGGAACATCGCATTCCTATGACTTCTGGTATTGATGCCAGTGTAAACCTTGTCTAAATAAAAGCAACATCGCTGGTTTATCAAAGACTACGATAAATATATTTCATAAATTTATGAGTTATTTCATTTCTTTTCTGCACACATGGCGTAAAGAACCAAGAAAGCTTATTCAAACAATTCCGAAATCAAAGCTGAAGTCATTTGTTGTCCCTCCTATTGGCAGACAAATTTACAACTTGGCAACATCCATGATAAGCCGAATTAGCAATTAAACTCTGTAGGTGTAGTACAAAGTCCTTATCAGGGACCAAGATTGGTTTTGATTCTAAATTTGAATATTCTTTAACCAATGCCGATTACAAGGTATTGATTACAATGTAAAAGTAGCCCGTCGTCATCGACATCACCAGCTTGGTTGGTTGGCCACAAATAATTTGACTCCATAACTTTTCCTACTGCTATGCTTAATCTCGCCCACAAGCATCAGTGATCTGGCAAGGTACCCTTTACTGACAGTTTGAAAAAAATCTGAGTCATTTACATGATGGTCTCAGTAAAGTTGTATCATTTAAATAAGTTACTGTTAATTTCAGGAATTTTTCAAGTGAATCTTTAGATAAATTTTAAACATGACAATTTTTTTTTATTATTTTCAGGAATTTTTTAAGTGAATCTTTAGCTAAATTTTAAACATGACCATTTTTGTTGAAATCCAATGAAAAGGAAACAAGGGCTTAAAATTGAGGAGTAATTTTTGTAGGATAGGAACAATTCCGGTAGAAGTTCTTTAAAAAACAGAGTTAAAAATATAATGTTTTAAAAAATTTGAATGATTCGATATGACTTACAAAAGTTTTTTTTTTAGTTATATAATCCTGTTTATGGTGGGCATTATACAAGAAAGTAAAATACAAATATATAACTGTTATAGTAAAGAAAAATGTCTTTCTCACGGAGTCTAAACCTGTTTATAATGGGCAGTATACAAGGAAGTGAAATACAAATATATAACTGTTATAGTAAAGAAAAATGTCTTTCTCACTGAGTCTAAACCTGTTTATAATGGGCAGTATACAAGGAAGTGAAATACAATTATATAACTGTTATAGTAAAGAAAAATGTCTTTCTCACTGAGTCTAAACCTGTTTATAATGGGCAGTATACAAGGAAGTGAAATACAAATATATAACTGTTATAGTAAAGAAAAATGTCTTTCTCACTGAGTCTAAACCTGTTTATAATGGGCAGTATACAAGGAAGTGAAATACAATTATATAACTGTTATAGTAAAGAAAAATGTCTTTCTCACTGAGTCTAAACCTGTTTATAATGGGCAGTATACAAGGAAGTGAAATACAAATATATAACTGTTATAGTAAAGAAAAATGTCTTTCTCACTGAGTCTAAACCTGTTTATAATGGGCAGTATACAAGGAAGTGAAATACAATTATATAACTATAGCAATAGAGAAAATTTTCAACATTTAAAAAACATTTTTTATAAATGATTATTATATCTGTTCACAGAATGAGTAACATTTTTGTAAAAGCTAATAATTAAGTAAAGATATCGGGTTGTTTTTGGTTCCTTTTCTGTCTATGTAAACAGTATACCTACCTGATATGTACTGACTCCCATAACCTTTTACTGTATTGTATTTTTTGTAAATATAGAGAAATCAAATTAAATTCAGTTGAAAGTTTTGCTGAATTATTCTTCTAGGGAAGTTATGTTGTTTACTTACAAAAAACTAACAGAAAACTATTTCTGTTATCAAACCTCATCAACATCAAAATGCAACTGGTTATGTAACATTCCAGTCTTAAATGATTAAGTAATATATGAACTAGTTTGCTTGTTTTAAAGATCTCTAATATTAAAATTGAGGTTGAGATCCTTTAAGACTGAGCTTCTGTATGTGCAGATAGTGGGAGGTGAAGACTTCTGATTGAAACAAGCTATGCAAAAATTAAGTCATTGAGTTTTGGAAGTAAATATTTGATTACAAACTAGTACTTAAACTATTTTTCATTTAAAGGACAATAGAATTAGTAATTGAGTGGAAGCACTTGGACTTTGTTCCTAAAAAACATTCTAATACTACATCTATATTTGTTATAAAGTATTGGCAGAATTGCTACAAATATAGACTAAATGTAGTTCCTCCCATGCTATCACTTGTTATAGTTTTATGGGGATTTTTTGTTCATCAGTTCTGCAATGAATGAGATAAAAGTGATTTACTGGTTATTGACCAAGCAGATAGAATTGATGTGTTCATAACAATCTGTACCCTATATCAATTATATATTATAAGGATTAGAAGTGATTGGGTATTATCTCCTAATTGATTTATGACAGACACAATGGAAACCTATCAACAGTAATCAGATTGAGGTCTCTTCCTCTCACACCCACAAGTGGTGTCAAAGGTCAGAGGTATCTTGTCCACGATTGGCTATTATTTCTGGATTGATTTGAACATCAGCACAATAAAAATCCAACAGCTAGTATTAGATTTGACCTTGATGAAAGTTCAGAAGTGAGAGGTTACAGTGTTCAGTTTATGGCGTCACATCTGTCCTGGGGTTTAAATCTGATCCAAGAATTATTATGGCAGGATCCGTTACTGGACCTTAATTTGGTATTGATTAAATGTATGACGATGTGACAGGGGGTTTACTTTGTGTTATTATGTGTTTATAAATGACAAGTAGAGACAAATCATGATGGCTTGTTGTTCAGCTTTATAGGTGAAGACTAGGTATATGGTTGGCCGGACTTGGGTCCATTTACCAAAGCCTATGTAGACCACAGAAGCACTTGTTTCTATGTACAAAACAGGCAGGTAATATCATATTACTCTGATTTTGATGAGAGATATCTTCATTTTTTTTTATTTATTATGATAGATAAGTTATCATTATTATTTTTTTCTTTCAGAATGAGCTGAAGTTCCATGCAGTCGGCCAGGAACCAATCAAGGAACATGCTTATTTTGTCAAAACTATGGCTTCAAGATTCAGTTTCAAAGACAGACCAGTACTTGGAATTGACCAATCAAAATTCACATTACCAAGGGATATGTCTGTGATAATGAAGAAAGACAACTATTCGTTGGATACTTTTTCACCCAATCATGACTGTTTTCAGGTCCACATGACTAAATTTCTTGGGAATCCTTACGTTTTTGATCATGATAAGAATGCAAAGGTAAGATTTGCAAATTACTTTTTGTTTAATGATAAAATCAAACTGTTAACTTTAGTGGTCCAGGAAACTGAAATTTAGTAGGGATAAAAAAAGTGAATGTGAAATGTATAAATAAAATCATTCTAGCATTGATACTTTATGTGTGTAATAACCTTTGCATAGTCTTTTTTAAAGTTTGAATGAAATTCATTTATGCTAAAACTAGGAATAGATAAAGAAATATTCTATATCTGCCTGTAGGAAGCTTTCCTCTAGAAGATAACACAAAATTTGTGTGAATCTTAAGGTCACATTATTGCGATAAACCTTTGATATTTTCTTCAAGATGAAAAAAGGTAGAGAGATTTACAATTTAACACGAGAAATGTCAGTCTACATATCTAAGTTACCTATTGACAGGTTGACTCAGAAGTGGGTTCCCTGAAAATTTATACGTGTGATGGAGAATCGGTACAAGTGAGTGGTCTCCAGGACGACAATATGGTTACTATGGAGATCCCACGACTTCCTCTTAAGGTAAAACATCCTATTGATTATAGTGACCAATGAACGTTGTGTAGACTGTTTACATATCTGGGGGCAAAATGTGATGCGTTAAAGTGCTTTCATGGATGGGAGGTTTGGATTGGGAATCATTGCCTACGTTTTTATGTGGAAATACAATCATACATGTATGTTAAAATGGAAAAATTCCATCAATACAGAAATGCTGTTAATGTAATACTTTGTAAAAGTATGTGTCTTACTTAACCAACTAGGCATATGAATTTATTTACTTAAATATTTTTTATTCAATTTATTAAGGGTTATGCAGACAAAATTTCCATGATTTTTTAAAAATAATTATCTGTATATGCTAAATTCATAGACAAAATTTTCATGTTTTTTAAGTTATTATCTGAAGAAGCTAAATTCCTGACAAAATTTCACATGGTTTTGATGTGATGTGTTTAATATTTGGATGATCATTATTAGGATTTTTTTTTTTTTGTTAATCTTTAAAAGGCAGGTAAATTTCGACCTGTTGTAGACATTGATAGAAGAATGCTTTCATGGAAATATTTACAAAAGGTCTAACAGTGCAGGTTGCTAGAACGTTTTTGCATGATCGTTTCAATTCCTATACAATTGGTGTATTATGTAGACTGGGTATTCCCATGCTGGACCTATGTGAGGAGCTAACACTGTAGGTTAAATATGTCTGTAGGCTATCGTGATACCTATCAACACATCAAAGTACACAAACACACATCATGAAGACATTGCCTAAATGTAATTTTCTCTTCTCATTGGAGGGAGCGTGAGATGATTTTAAGATGAATGTCCCTGGACATTAATATGACTAACTGACCACCAGGATTTGTTTGCTGCTAAAACTTCTGTGACGTTAGAAGTCATTGTGTGATGAAAGAATATAGTGTATCTTAAGTTGTCTGTAATATTTGATTGCCTTAAGGCCTTCAGTTTGCTCTGAAGGAGCTGCTGTGTTTGTGAAGCCCAACGGACATGTTCTTCACCTCTTATTGGAGCTAGTCAAGCACAGAATACATTCTGAATAAATCGTGTACTCTCCTGGGCACTGTAACATTTCAGTTACAATGGGCTCCAACCAGGTGACAATGTATTGCTGCATTAGCAACCATTCCAGTTTTGACAAATGGTGTTCATCTGTTCTGAGTATTGCTGTCAGTGCTTAATGTATCTCTCCTATAGACATTATATATTGGACTAAGGTTACTGGGTATCATTAGGGTTTGTCTCCTACAGACATTATATATTGGACTAAGGTTACTGGGTATCATTAGGGTTTGTCTCCTACAGACATTATATATTGGACTAAGGTTACTGGGTATCAGTGTAGCATTAGGGTTTGTCTCCTACAGACATTATATATTGGACTAAGGTTACTGGGTATCATTAGGGTTTGTCTCCTACAGACATTATATATTAGACTAAGGTTACTGGGTATCAGTGTAGCATTAGGGTTTGTCTCCTACAGACATTATATATTGGACTAAGGTTACTGGGTATCATTAGGGTTTGTTTCCTACAGACATTATATATTGGACTAAGGTTACTGGGTATCAGTGTATCATTAGGGTTTGTCTCCTACAGACATTATATATTGGACTAAGGTTACTGGGTATCATTAGGGTTTGTCTCCTACAGACATTATATATTGGACTAAGGTTACTGGGTATCATTAGGGTTTGTCTCCTACAGACATTATATATTGGACTAAGGTTACTGGGTATCAGTGTATCATTAGGGTTTGTCTCCTACAGACATTATATATTGGACTAAGGTTACTGGGTATCATTAGGGTTTGTCTCCTACAGACATTATATATTGGACTAAGGTTACTGGGTATCAGTGTAGCATTAGGGTTTGTCTCCTACAGACATTATATATTGGACTAAGGTTACTGGGTATCATTAGGGTTTGTTTCCTACAGACATTATATATTGGACTAAGGTTACTGGGTATCAGTGTAGCATTAGGGTTTGTCTCCTACAGACATTATATATTGGACTAAGGTTACTGGGTATCATTAGGGTTTGTCTCCTACAGACATTATATATTGGACTAAGATATATCCCATAACCTGCCTGGTTTGTCTTAGGCACGAGAGACATTTATAATCTTTTTCTTGCTAAACACTCAGTTCTATTGAACAGAAACAACAGGTCCTATCCTTGTGTCCTATACCTGCAGGACAGAGAACATTTCTAGTGAACAAGAACAACAGGTCCTATTCTTTTGTCTTTTACCTGCAGGACAGAGAACATTTCTAGTGAACAAGAACAACAGGTCCTATCCTTGTGTCCTATACCTGCAGGACAGAGAACATTTCTAGTGAACAAGAACAACAGGTCCTATTCTTTTGTCTTTTACCTGCAGGACAGAGAACATTTCTAGTGAACAAGAACAACAGGTCCTATTCTTTTGTCTTTTACCTGCAGGACAGAGAACATTTCTAGTGAACAAGAACAACAGGTCCTATTCTTTTGTCTTTTACCTGCAGGACAGAGAACATTTCTAGTGTCTAAAAAGACTTGTGTTTATATGATTTATATAAATTGTTAGGATTGTTTTGCTTACTTTTTTTGTTTGCTGGCATTAGTTCTTTCTGTGATTTATTGAAATTGCAATTTATAATTAGGGTTTAACTGAGCTATAAAATTCTTAGACATTTACATCTCCGGGCTTTCTTTAACACAGAGCAGGTATAGCTCCTAGCAGCTGTACCATAAAATATTGCATCAGATTCACTTATTACCAAGATATCTGATATTTAGTGGAAGGAAGGAAAGAAAGCTAAAATGATTTGATGATGTAATGGGTTATTGAAGTCTTTTTTCTATCTGATGACTGTAAAATGAAATTATGTGTACATGAAAACTTGGTATTAAAGAGATCTTTATATACACACATCAGTCATGCAGTTTATTTGGCTGGAATAAATAGAAGATGAGAACATGTTTTAAAAGAAGACAGAGGCCAGAGTTATTGATTTTGTACAGTATATTATAAAATCAACATAATCTAAAGATCTAAACAGGAAACATTTTTATGAAACGCTTACTCTGTTTAGTCAGTTCCGTCATACAGTTGTATGACTTGATCCTTAGTTAAGGCTGTTCCAACATACAGTTGTGTGGCTCAAATAGTTGTGTGACTAAATCCTCAGTTAAGGCTGTTTTGTCATACAGTTGTATGACTCGATCCTTAGTTAAGGCTGTTCCATCATACAGTTGTATGGCTCAAATTCTCAGTTAAGGCTGTTCCATCAAACAGTTGTGTGACTCAAATCCTCAGTTAGGGCTGTTCTGTCATACAGTTGTATGACTCGATCCTCAGTTAAGACTGTTCCATCATACAGTTGTGTGACTCAAATCCTCAGTTAAGGCTGTTCCATCAAACAGTTATATGACTCGATCCTTAGTTAAGGCTGTTCCATCATACAGTTGTGTGGCTCAAATCCTCAGTTAAGGCTGTTCCTTCAAACAGTTGTGTGACTCAAATCCTCAGTTAGGGCTGTTCTGTCATACAGTTGTATGACTCGATCCTTAGTTAAGGCTGTTCCATCATACAGTTGTATGGCTCAAATTCTCAGTTAAGGCTGTTCCATCAAACAGTTGTGTGACTCACATTATCAGTTCATGCTGGTTTGTCATGTAGGTGTCTTATTCAAATTTTCAATTAAGACTGTTTAGTCATACACCATATATGATTCAATAGAAACACTGCTTTTTCACTAAAGAATTGATTCCTTAACATAAAGCTTGAAGTTTACATAATCCATTGTATACAAAATCGAAATATATAGATAAAGATATGATATATCTAAATAAACCAGACAATCTGATATTGTGATAACAATAGGCATCACTGTTTCAAAAGAGTGCAGGACTATATTTATATACATCATATACAAAAGAGCATCAAGTTAAAAGAGAAGCAACATTATATAAAATTTGCCAAAACTGAAGAAAAGTGTAGAAACTGTATTGTATTGGGGAAAATGTTTTTGTTAACAAAAATAACAGACAAAAAGTCCAGAATTTTATGAAAATGAAGAAGGGTCAAATTGCAATCAACAGAGAAACAATGTACAAAAATGTCAGAACTGAAAATAGAGGAACTTGCAATAGAGTGTCAGTGTAATATGGAATTATTTAACAAGTACATTAATTTTTTATGGGGCTTTAGGCAAGACAAGAGATATTTAACAAGTAAATTCCATGTTACATGTATAAGATTATATTTATGTTATAACCAGTATTTTTGGAAAATAAGCAAAAACTCTTAGATTAATTTCCATAAAAGATAGGCTTGTTTTGAATTGGACAATACAATTTTCACAGCTGAGACAATCATGTGATGTTATCAAAACTTATTTAAGACATCACAATAGTATTACATGTCTTACCCTAGTTATATGACATGACACAACAGGTCACGTATGTGATGAAACTACAACATATACCAAAAACTAACTATACAACAGTTGATGGACAAATTGTACAAAAATATCAAAATTGCAATCAACTGAAAACAAAAACATTGAAATTTGCAATTAACAAAATGGATTGTATACAAAACATTGTATTAACAATCTACAGAAAAGCTACATTGCATACAAAAAAAAATGGGAAGAGTTCTTTGTTAGATTAAAAATGGAAAGGCATATAAAACTGAGGTGGAGATGTATGGACAGTTCAAACTGACAATGTCATTCCTAAAGCAGGTGCACAATTTTCTGAGACATCACATTTTGTATGGAAGTGTTAACAGATATTCACAATAAGATGTTGGGAGTGAGACTGCTGTCATACCTACTGAGAACCCATATATTTGTTGGATTGAGCCTCTTCTGGTGCAAAACCAAATTAATGCCAGGTTCAATAGCAAAGACATACATGTCGGGTAAAACAGCTGATAAAAACTAGGTTTGGAGCTTCCCATGTTAGGAAATGAATTATTTAATAAGATACATTACAAAAACTTGGAACTAATTATTGTAAAGACGTCACTGCTGGGCTAATCTCCATCGGAATGTTGTATAGTTATGTAATATACATGTATTCTTTGTTTAGATGAAGGCTGGTGTACCCCTTTAGGTGTACTTGTATACTAAACTCATAAGTCTTGTCTTAGCAGAAGACATATATATTTTTTAATCCATGCTCTGACAAGGGTATTAGTACTAAAAATGTGAAAATGGCTATGAATAATTGATGATATAACAAAGCTATGTTAATTGACATCTAATTTTGATTAAAATATGAACACTGGCTGGAAAACTTCTTGCAAAAATAAAATCATGCACAGGTTTTGCAAATAAATCAATTATTGAAATTTTATTTGCAGGAGGAGACGACTCTGTCAGATTTAGTGGTACAGCATCGTCTTGAGAGAACATTGATGAACCTTCATCAGTTTAATGTGAGCAGAGAACAGCAACAGCATTCACTTAACATCATCTTTACACTGACTCCAGCTATAGGGGAACGCCTCTTTCCTATAGCCTTGATGATAGGGTGAGAGACTTCTTGTCAATATCTAAATAAAATACATTATCATTTTCATGTTCACACCAACTGTTTCTGTTGTGTCATATCCTTCTTGGTTTAGTGTACATTATGCCTACTCCCATCTATTTCAAGAAACGCCAGAAGATGCTATATCATTTGTCCTGTGATAGCCCTCTCCTCTTCATCAGGTCTGAGAATTTATTTCAATGCTCTGGGCTTATATTATTTTTATATATAGAGTGGGGAATGTTTGATATTGTTTTAGAGTTTTCTTAATTGACAAGTTCAAAATACTTGCAAACATTATCAACCTTTTTTCCTGCTCTTTTTTATATAATGAAATGATTGTTATATAGAAAGGTGATATTTGGATGTTTGGTCATTATTGAAATAGATAGTTTGTGTGGTCAGATTTTTAGAGGTCGTTTTCATTATGAGAAGTTTGTGTGGTCAGATTTTTAGAGGTCGTTTTCATTATGAGAAGTTTGTGTGGTCAGATTTTTAGAGGTCGTTTTCATTATGAGAAGTTTGTGTGGTCAGATTTTTAGAGGTCGTTTTCATTATGAGAAGTTTGTGTGGTCAGATTTTTAGGGGTCGTTTTCATTATGAGAAGTTTGTGTGGTCAGATTTTTAGAGGTCGTTTTCATTATGAGAAGTTTGTGTGGTCAGATTTTTAGAGGTCGTTTTCATTATGAGAAGTTTGTGTGGTCAGATTTTTAGAGGTCGTTTTCATTATGAGAAGTTTGTGTGGTCAGATTTTTAGAGGTCGTTTTCATTATGAGAAGTTTGTGTGGTCAGATTTTTAGAGGTCGTTTTCATTATGAGAAGTTTGTGTGGTCAGATTTTTAGAGGTTGTTTTCATTATGAGAAGTTTGTGTGGTCAGATTTTTAGAGGTCGTTTTCATTATGAGAAGTTTGTGTGGTCAGATTTTTAGAGGTCGTTTTCATTATGAGAAGTTTGTGTGGTCAGATTTTTAGAGGTCGTTTTCATTATGAGAAGTTTGTGTGGTCAGATTTTTAGAGGTCGTTTTCATTATGAGAAGTTTGTGTGGTCAGATTTTTAGAGGTCGTTTTCATTATGAGAAGTTTGTGTGGTCAGATTTTTAGAGGTCGTTTTCATTATGAGAAGTTTGTGTGGTCAGATTTTTAGAGGTCGTTTTCATTATGAGATTATCAGATTTCATGATGTAGGTTCCTATTGGTCCTTAGTTACACCTATTTTATCATAGCCATTACTTAGAGGAATTTTAAAATTTCATGGAAGTAAAAGCTATGAAGAAAAAATCAAGGAAAAGATCTGACATTTAAAGAAGATATAAGATCTGTTGATGACGGAGGCCAAAATCCCTGTGGGATCTCCTGTTTAAAGGTGTTTGCTGGTCAGATTGCTGTTGTTTGAAAGGTGAGATTTTAGTGATGGTGAAAAGAAGAAGTTTTTGAGGTGAAATTCTAGTATTACTGAGAAGGAAATGCTTTTATGTGTACTTAAAGAGAATTGTTGGACTGCTGAGTTTTGTCAGTGTTTCAAAACATGACCAAGCATAAGGTCTTGATTCCTTGTAATGACGGATGTGCCTGAAATTTTCGCTCAAACCTGTCTCATTTCTAAGGTGAGCAAAGTTTCAGGTGTGTTTGTCTTGCAAATAGCAACAAAACTGATCTTGATCTCAGCCTCCAGTGATCTTTAATCTAGATTTAGGTAAACTAGACAGTGAATTCTCTTGGTCTCGAGCTCAAGTGATCTTCAGTATAGTTTAAGGTACATGACACTATGACTGATCTTGGTGTGAACTTCTGTGATTCTTAGTCGAGGTTTAGTTATCGTATATGCGACTGATATTGCTGTGAACTTCTGTGATTCTTAGTCGAGGTTTAGTTATGGTATATGCGACTGATATTGCTGTGAACTTCTGTGATTCTTAGTCGAGGTTTAGTTATGGTATATGCGACTGATATTGCTGTGAACTTCTGTGATTCTTAGTCGAGGTTTAGTTATGGTATATGCGACTGATATTGGTCTTCGTCTCCACGGACTTTCATGTAGTTAAGTTTAAAAATCCATTGAGAAGGTTGTTATTTCTATCTAATGGTTATGATTTGTATTACAAAGGAACCTTTTACCAGTGGCCATTATAGACAGGCATTTGCAATAGAGTTGGTCTTCCTTTTACTCTGGGGAATAGTTTTAGTCCAGAATGTAAAATTCCGTAAATTTCAAATGCATTTTATGTGTAATAAATTCTTAAGTGATAGTCAAGATTATGGTTTCTCAAGAAAAGGTCAAAATTACTGTTTCTAAAGATCAAACAAATTAACCATTATATACTGTACTGTAAGACATTGTTATTCTAGAAAGGTTAGCTTTCCAAAAATATTACGCAGAGAAAATTTTGAAACAGTAGTGGTCTTGAATTGAACATTTTTAATACAATTGTTAAATGAGTAATGACCTTGAGCATTATAACCAATTTGAATACTTAGGAAGATTTCAGGGTTTCAAATTTTTTTATTTGTATTTTGAGATTAAACATCGTGTTTGTCTCCTGCAAGGGTTTGTTTGAAACAGCATTGTCCTGCAAAGACAGGGAAAAAAAACAAACACAAGATTAATCTTTGCTACATCTCTGCACCAATTCACCCTTGGTAGTTTGCGATATTCATTTAGAAACTTGTGTGTTACCGAAGGGCACCATGACCTAACCTGAATGTTTATTGGAAAGTTTACACTTGAGAAACATATAATTGACTAGGGAATCCACTGTGTGTCGGTTAGCTAGATAACACAGTAAAAGACCAGGGTGTCTGTTATCCGATCTCCCACCATTGTCTGTCGTGCAAAAAAAAAATTTAAACACCATCAATGATGAGTCACTCTTAAAAAGAAGGAACAAAAATCTATACACAAGACTTATATAGACTCTGAATGTAAATTTCAGGCTGCAAGTCCCGCCTACCCCAGACAAACACCTACTGAGGCGTGAATTTGATGTGACATCCTTACAGGCCAAACTCTTTCTGCCTGCTGGGTACTTTAATGGTGAGTAACTTGAAAGGGTATATTTTCAGAGCAGTGTAGTATATGAAATATCTCAACATTAAGATTTGAAAGCAACACATTCTTTATGCTTATAAATTGATGGATAGAATTGAAGGGAAAAAAATCCACAGTAAAAAGTCACACAATCAACAGTAAAATAATTCAAATTTTGAGTCTACAATGTCTATCTTACAATAAGTCCATGCCTGTTAATAAGCCCACCCTTGATTTGTGCTATTACAAAGCATTACTAACAAATGCTTTTTCATTGTCATGTTATGAATCCAATCCCTTTGTGTCCAAAGTAATATGTGTTGAGGTATGAGACAAAGTCAGGTCAGAATTCATTTAAATAGTACAGCTCTAGTCTGTCACGTACATGTAGTACAGCTGTAGTCTGTCACAGTGAGAACATGTAGTACAGCTCTAGTCTGTCACAGTGAGAACATGTAGTACAGCTCTAGTCTGTCACAGTGAGAACATGTAGTACAGCTCTAGTCTGTCACAGTGAGTACATGTAGTACAGCTCTAGTCTGTCACAGTGAGTACATGTAGTACAGCTCTAGTCTGTCACAGTGAGAACATGTAGTACAGCTCTAGTCTGTCACAGTGAGAACATGTAGTACAGCTCTAGTCTGTCACAGTGAGAACATGTAGTACAGCTCTAGTCTGTCACAGTGAGTACATGTAGTACAGCTCTAGTCTGTCACGTACATGTAACTAGTCTGTCACGTACACAGCTCTAGTCTGTCACAGTGAGTACATGTAGTACAGCTCTAGTCTGTCACGTACATGTAGTACAGCTCTAGTCTGTCACAGTGAGTACATGTAGTACAGCTCTAGTCTGTCACGTACATGTAGTACAGGTCTAGTCTGTCACGTACATGTAGTAGAGCTCTAGTCTGTCACGTACATGTAGTACAGCTCTAGTCTGTCGCAGTGAGTACATGTAGTACAGCTCTAGTCTGTCACGTACATGTAGTACAGCTCTAGTGTGTCACAGTGAGTACATGTAGTACAGCTCGAGTCTGTCACAGTGAGTACATGTAGTACAGCTCTAGTGTGTCACAGTGAGTACATGTAGTACAGCTGTAGTCTGTCACGTACATGTAGTACAGCTCTAGTCTGTCACGTACATGTAGTACAGCTCTAGTGTGTCACAGTGAGTACATGTAGTACAGCTCTAGTCTGTCACAGTGAGTACATGTAGTACAGCTCTAGTCTGTAACGTACATGTAGTACAGCTCTAGTCTGTCACATACATATAGTACAGCTCTAGTGTGTCACAGTGAGTACATGTAGTACAGCTCTAGTCTGTCACAGTGAGTACATGTAGTACAGCTCTAGTCTGTCGTAGTTAGTACATGTAGTACAGCTCTAGTCTGTCACAGTGAGTACATGTAGTACAGCTCTAGTGTGTCACAGTGAGTACATGTGGTACAGCTCTAGTCTGTCACAGTGAGTACATGTAGTACAGCTCTAGTCTGTCACAGTGAGTACATGTAGTACAGCTCTAGTCTGTCACGTACATGTAGTACAGCTCTAGTCTGTCACAGTGAGTACATGTAGTACAGCTCTAGTGTGTCACAGTGAGTACATGTAGTACAACTCTAGTCTGTAACGTACATGTAGTACAGCTCTAGTCTGTCACATACATATAGTACAGCTCTAGTGTGTCACAGTGAGTACATGTCGTACAGCTCTAGTCTGTCACAGTGAGTACATGTAGTACAGCTCTACTCTGTCACAGTGAGTACATGTAGTACAGCTCTAGTCTGTCACAGTGAGTACATGTAGTACAGCTCTAGTCTGTCACATACATATAGTACAGCTCTAGTGTGTCACAGTGAGTACATGTCGTACAGCTCTAGTCTGTCACAGTGAGTACATGTATTACAGCTCTAGTCTGTCACGTACATGTAGTACAGCTCTACTCTGTCACAAGCTCTAGTCTGTCACAGTGAGTACATGTATTACAGCTCTAGTCTGTCACGTACATGTAGTACAGCTCTACTCTGTCACAGTGAGTACATGTAGTACAGCTCTAGTGTGTCACAGTGAGTACATGTAGTACAGCTCTAGTCTGTCACGTACATGTAGTACAGCTCTAGTCTGTCACGTACCTGTAGTACAGCTCTAGTCTGTCACATACATGTAGTACAGCTCTAGTGTGTCACAGTGAGTACCTGTAGTACAGCTCTAGTCTGTCACATACATGTAGTACAGCTCTAGTCTGTCACGTACATGTAGTACAGCTCTAGTCTGTCACGTACATGTAGTACAGCTCTAGTCTGTCACATACATGTAGTACAGCTCTAGTGTGTCACAGTGAGTACACGATTCAGATTTGTTCAATAAACGATTCTGCATTGTGAGGCACCAAGTCAATATTTATATCCAGAAATCATAACATATGGCTATACATTAGTTACAGACAACAGTCAGATAGGTTCCGTTACTTTGTCATGGTGTCGCTGTTAATGAAAATCTGCCATGTCAACTGGTCATTTTAATCCGACTCTGTAACATGGTGAGGATCAAGTCCCTGCCATTAGCTTGTGCAAGTTTCTGGCTCATGTATGTAGGTGGTAAAGATTTTTTGCATTTAAAAAGTAAGTGATACACTGGACCGCCCAGGAAATGGAAAGCCTCCTGTGGGAGCTGAAAGGCTGATCAGGTTAAAATCTGAGCTGTAGTCAAATTAAATTCACCATGTCATCTTGGCTGATTCTCTTTTGTAAAAAAAGTTGCTATCGTATGACGCATAGAAATCAAATAACCTTATTTACTTTCTGGCTAGACATCATGTGACACACAGATGCCATGTGATACACAGAGAATTGGAAAAATAAATGGAAAATTAACTCACAAAAACTCCCCTCAAAAAATCCTCTTCATGCAATCACGAAGTCTGTTAATTTTGTTTTGGTGGTAAATATTGTCTTCAGGAAACTCTTGTTTAACTGTTTCTTAAGTGTAGGTAGGTGATTATTGAAATGTCAAGGTTATTTGATCACGGACATCTACCTATTAATGTTACAGCTGACAGACCAGTGATCATCAACAGGGCATTTACTTCCTCAATTATTTCATCATTCAGTAATATAAACATTTAAGTAAATTGTAATCATTTCTTAATTAGATTGATCACACTGGAATTTTTTTTCAAGACTATTCTGCCTCATAGAATTACATAATATAATCTACATGTCCTATATTTTTGTTTGGAAATTGTCCTTCCACCTAGCTCGTGTACTGGGTACCAGACACATGCTGGTGTGTAGTCCTTCACATAGAAGACTTAAATATTGACATTAAGCTGTCTAGCACAAGTTCACAGGATGAAAGGTCAGTGAGTACCAGGTTGGATTGAATCCTGTAGAAGTAAGGAAAAGCTTTGGTAGATGTGTAAAATTTGGTAACAGTGCGTGCTGACTTACTTATTAGACGCCTAAACACAGTATACAACTTCAAATCAACATATTGATTAGATTGGTGCTTAGCTATGTTACAACCCTGTTGGCTGTAAACACCCATAGTCCTCAAGTCATAAATTGTGAGAAAATTTTACAGGGATCAGAATGGTATGATCTGCCGAAATGATATTAGTTCTTAGGAAATAGAAAAAGATTTTATGTAAAATGTCCCTACTAGCTGTACTAACTTTTGATTGATTTGTTACAGTGTATATTTAACAATGTGTATCTCTTGTTTTTATATATAGGATGAGTGGACTAAACATTGCATGGCGTTTTGTGTATCTTGCATGTCGACTTCTTGTAGTTCAGACAAGAATGTTAAGTATGGTCAGCCGGTGAGAAAGGCATCAGTCACTTTGTTGTAGTGATGGCATGGTGACACAAGTTCAATTTAAGCTTTGAGTATAACATTACCAGTCTTTGTCGGAAAAAAACACTGCAGGTCTTTACCATAATTAGCTCTTTTTTTGTAAAATGAGACATGTACGTGGACCAGTTGTGATGACATCACAGATATTTATCTTCGCCGTTTCCTCTTCAGAGGGGGCATCCAGATCACTTAAAGGCAGCTCTTGGGCAATGAATTATTAATTTTTCGTTGTTGAAGATTACAAGATGAAACACCAGGAAGAAACAAATGCATGAAAACAAATTGCAGTTGATCAAAGGGTCATATGAGTGCTTCCCACCTTTATGAACAAAGGTGGCTTATGCACGGCATGCCCAATCACGCCTAAGATCTAGGAAGGTACATATATCTACAACAAAGGAAAATGCTAGTACAGTGTAATACTATACTCACTGTTTTCACCCAACACCAAACTTGTCACATTGACATGAATTAGCCAAGGATTCATCGATATAAGTTTACTCACCCCTACAAGGTAAGTACAAACTAAGGTAAGTTGTTGATCTGTTAAGGCTCTCATAAAGTACAAGTTGAGAAAATGGAATTTAAAGTTGTCAAGGTTTAGAACAGAAGGTTTTAAGAGCTTTCTTAATCACTACTTTTTCACAGTAATGGAGATGTAAAAGATCAAGATCATACGAAAAAGGAAAATATATTTGTACAAAAATGATGATTGAATTGTAAGGTTTGTTGTCAATGATGGGTCAAGGTCAAAAAGAGATGTTAAATCTTATCAAATATTTATTGAAGATGAAACCAGATTTGTTTTCCATTTTCGAAATGAAAATATCTATTCTGAGATCAATTTCACACAATTTCTTGCTTCTATTCTGTTTCCTCCCATTACTTAGATGATATTAGTCTGGTAGGTAGTGAGAGTTATCCATGTCCTGATCGCTGTGACATTTAACGCTTCACAATCATAAACATTTTTAATTTCAAAATAGTTTGACGTTAAATACAGGCAATCTGTTACATTTGTAGCCTTTCCAGACAAGCTAACTTACATTTTACAATAAAATTGGATTGTTTACCAAATCCACACTGTCAGCCATGTATAAAAATTTAACACCGATAACCCTTATATATTGATGTCAGCGTTTTGTTGTTAT